TTATACCTTTCTAAGAATTTGTCCCTTTCTTCCAGGTTGTCCATCTTATTGGCATAGAGTTACTTGTAGTAGTCTCTTAGGATGCTTTGTATTTCTGTGGTGTCTGTTGTAACTTCTCCTTTTTCATTTCTAACTTTATTGATTTGAGTCCTCTTCCTCTTTTTCCTGATGAGTCTGGCTAATGGTTTATCAGTTTTGTTTATCTTCTCAAAGAATCAGCTTTTAGTTTTATTGAACTTTGCTGTTGTTTTCTTTGTTTCTATTTCATTTATTTCTGCTCTGATCTTTATGATTTTTTTCCTTCTACTAACTTCAGGTTTTGTTTGTTCTTTATTTAGTTTCTTTAGGTGTAAAGTTAGATTGTTTATTTGAGATTTTTCTTGTTTCCTCAGGTAGGCTTGTATTGCTATAAACTTACCTCTTAGAACTGCTTTTGCTGCGTCCCGTAGGTTTTGGGTCGTCGTGTTTTCATTGTCATTTGTCTCTAGGTATTTTTTGATTTCCTCTTTGATTTCTTCAGTGATCTCTTGGTTATTTAGTAACGTACTGTTTAGCCTTCATGTGTTTGTGTTTTTTACATTTTTTTCCCTGTAATTGATTTCTAATCTCATGGTGTGGTCAGAAAAGATGCTTGATATGATTTCAGTTTTCTTTACTGAGACTTGATTTGTGACCCAAGACGTGATCTATCCTGGAGATTGTTCCGTGTGCACTTGAGAAGAAAGTGTAATCTGCTGTTTTCGGATGGAATGTGCTGTAAATATCAATTAAATCTATCTGGTCTGTTGTGTCATTTAAAGCTTGTGTTTCCTTATTAATTTTCTGTTTGGATGATCTGTCCATTGGTGTAAGTGAGGTGTTGAAGTCCCCCACTATTATTGTGTTACTGTGTTACTCTTTTATAGCTGTTAGCAGTTGCCTTATGTATTGAGGTGCTCCTTTGTTGGGTGCATATGTGTTTATAATTGATATGTCTTCTTGGATTGATTCCTTCATCATTATGTAGTGTCTTTCCTTGTTTCTTGTAACATTCTTTATTTTAAAGTCTGTTTTATCTGATATGAGTATTGCTATTCCAGCTTTGTTGTGATTTCCATTTGCATGGAATATCTTTTTCCATCCCCTCAACTTTCAGTCTGTCTGTGTCCCTAGGTCTGAAGTGGGTCTCTTGTAGACAGCATATATTTGGGTCTTGTTTTTGTATCCATTCAGCGAGCCTGTGTCTTTTGGTTGGAGCATTTAATCCATTCACGTTTAGGGTAATTATTGCTAGGTATGTTCCTGTTACCATTTTCTTAATTGTTATGGGTTTGCTTGTGTAGGTCCTTTTCTTCTCTTGTGTTTCCCAGTTAGAGAAGTTCCTTTAGCATTTGTTGTAGAGCTGGTTTGGTGGTACTGAATTCTCTTAGCTTTTTTTTTTTTTTTTTTTTTTTGCAGTACACGGGCCTCTCACTGTTGTGGCCTCTCCCGTTGCGGAGCACAGGCTCCGGATGCGCAGGCTCAGCGGCCATGGCTCACGGGCCTAGCCGCTCCGTGGCATGTGGGATCTTCCCGGACCAGGGCACGAACCCGTGTCCCCTGCATTGGCAGGCGGATTCTTAACCACTGCACCGCCAGGGAAGCCCTCTCTTAGCTTTTACTTGTCTGTAAAGCTTTGATTTCTCCATCGAATCTGAATGAGATCCTTGCCTGGTAGAGTAATCTTGGTTGTAGATTCTTCCCTTTTATCACTTTAAATATGTCATGCCCCTCCCTTCTGGCTTGTAGAGTTTCTGCTGAGAAATCAGCTCTTAACCTTATGGGAGTTCCCTTGTATGTTACTTGTTGTTTTTGCTTTGTTGCTTTCAGTAATTTTTCTTTGTCTTTAATTTTTGTCAGTTTGATTGCTATGTGTCTTGGCATGTTTTTCCTTGGGTTTATCCTGCCTGGGACGCTCTGAGCTTCCTGGACTTGGGTGGCTACTTCCTTTCCCATGTCAGGGAAGTTTTCAACTATAATCTCTTCAAATATTTTCTCAGGTCCTTTCTCTCTCTTCTCCTTCTGGGACCCCTATACTGTGAATGTTGTTGTGTTTAATGTTGTCCCAGAGGTCTCTTAGGCTGTCTTGATTTCTTTTCATTCTTTTTTCTTTATACTGTTCCACAGCAGTTAATTCCACCATTCTGTTTTCCAGGTCACTTATCCGTTCTTCTGCCTCAGTTATTCTGTGATTGATTCCTTGTAGTGTATTTTTCATTTTAGTTATTGTATTGTCCATCTCTTGTTTGTTTGGTCTTTAATTCTTATAGGTCTTTGTTAAACATTTCTTGCATCTTCTCAATCTTTGCCTCCATGCTTTTTCTGAGATCCTGGATCATTTTCACTATCATTATACTGAATTCTTTTTCTGGAAGGTTGCGTATCTCCACTTCATTTAGTTGTTTTTGTGGGGTTTTATCTTGTTCCTTAATCTGGTACATAGCCCTCTGCCTTTTCATCTTGTCTGTCTTCCTGTGAATGAGGTTTTTGTTCCACAGGCTGCAGGATTGTAGTTTTTGTTGCTTCTGATGTCTGCTCTCTGCTGGATGAGGCTATCTGGGCAGTCCCATTAATGTGTCTTCTCCTGGCAAACCTCCTCTGGCCTCTCCTTGTCCTCCTGGTTTCTTTTGCACCTGGCTCATATGCCCCAGTTACCACAGCTGAGCTGCCTGCCAGCAGCCACCCCCAGATAGGAGCTGGTGGCTGGATTTATTCATCGCTGTATTCCGGGGAAGGAGCCATACTGATAAGTGAATGAGGTGGGGAGATGTGCAGTCCTGGGTTCTTTTTTAAAGCTGGATTGGGTGCAGTGTTGCACAGCACTTTAGGGCTTGAGCAAAGGGGTGGAGCTGTTCAGTGGGCGGTACATTTGGAGAGACTGCAAGGCTGGTGCTGGCAGAACAAGTCAGTGATACCCACCCACAGTCCTTGAGCCTTTAAAACTGTGCACACTGGTCCAAGTGCTCTTTGCATTAACTCCTGTAATCCTCACACAACCATTGAGGTGGGTGCTATCTTGGTCTATAGATAAGGAAGTAAGGCACAGAGAAGTTCAGTGTTTCGCCCGAGGTCACAAGTAGGGGTTATGGAAGCCTGACCCCTGTCCAAGCTGTCTGGCTCTGGAGAAGTGCTCTAACTGTAAGGCCAGCTTGCCTCCACAGGCAATGCTTAGGAGTTAGGACGTGATGGGGAACCAGGGAAAGGCTGTGGGGGTCGGCTGTATGTTTTAGAGAGACGCGTTGGCAGTAGGGTAGAAGGATACCAGGAGATGGGCAGTCGTTTGGAGGAGGTAGCGGCACTGGAGATGAGAAGAAAGATGGGTTTGAGAGTGGTCCTGCATTAATTTCGCTCAGATACGACTAGTTCTCCCCAGCTCCGAGGCCATTGTCCTAGGCCATTGGGTTCCCATGTTGTAGCCTCTGGAGCAGAACCGTCAGAATTGCCTAGGAGTGCAGAGTTTTGAGCCCCATCCCAGACCTGCTGAATCAGAATCTAGTTTAACAAGCCCTCCGGGTGAGCCTGACGTCCAAGCCACTATCACCCAGGACCAGGTGACCAGAGCCTTCTCCTTGCTTTGACTCTGCTCTGGTCCCTCAGCCTTGCCCTGAGCTCAGGCCCTCCCCCACTAGAAGCCCTTCTACACGGGTTACACCCTGACTCCTGGCTTCACGTTTTTGCTTCTCATTTGCTGCTTTATCCACTACATCCCTGAACACTGATATATCGTGGTTAGTTGTCACCTTCCAGTGGGCCCTGAGTGAATGCAAGGGCCTCTCATTCTCCAGTAGCCTCCGCATCTGCTGCCTTCTCTGCTCTTCCTGGAACCTGCTTGGCTTCCCAATTCACAGTTTCTAGGTTTTTGTCTACTCGTGTTGCCAGTGACAGAAGTCTCAGCTGGGCACACAGGGTGGATCAGGGTTGGTGGCTCTCATCTGCTCCCCTAAATTATCAGCTCCTCCAGAGAGCAACAGTTCCCAGTCATTGGGAAGAGGCCGAGGCTCTGGGCTCTGGACTGGCCTGGGAAGCTCTGTTCCTTCCTGGTTGCTAGGTGTTGGTGAGGTCACGTGTAAGCAGTTCTGATTCTCTTGTCTTTTCCCAGAAGCTAGTACAGGACTGTGCAGGAGGGTGTTCTTTGGTTTTGGTTTTGTTTGTTTGTTTGTTTGTTTTGTGGGGTGGGGGGGTTTCCATTTGTTTATTGATCTCCTCATTACTCCAGAGAGGATTCCAGATGGGAGGGGGCTTCAGCATCACCCACCCTCCCAGTCGGCAGGGATCCTCAGAGCATGTGCAGTGAGGCACGGTCACTGTATCCTGGGAAGCTAGGAACTGAAGGCTGTGAGCTCTGGGTCCCTAGCCTCGCACGGTCAAAGTAGTGGCACAGTACCCGCTTTGCTAAGCCTGAGTGAGGCAAGCCGCATCTGCGCAGATTGTGCGAGAGGGCTCAGGATTTCTCCTTGCTAACTGAGACACCAGGGCTCTGTCCCCTCTGCCTGCTCCCTCAGCGGGTCACAGAACATCACCATGCTGGCTGCCTGGGTTTAACCAGAGCGAATCATGCAATGACCAGCAGCTGGCTGGGGCCCTGCCATTTGCACTGTCTCCTAGCACAGCCTGGTGGGGCGGGGGTGGGCACAAGCTTGGACAAAGGCCAGAGCCTATCTTTCAACTGGGCCTCACAGGGGCGAGTCCAGACAGGCAGGGAGGGTGCCATGGGCTGAGGAGAATCTGTGGGGGTTTCAACGGCCAGAAAGGAGGGCAAGAGGTGGCATAATGTTTCCAACTGCAGGCTTTGGGGTCAGGTAGTCCTGTATTTTACAAGAATGCTTACTTCCTAAGAAGAACATGGATTAAGGACATAAATTGCATTAAGTGTTCAGCAAAGCACGCAGCTGACAGAAAAGACCAGTAAATGATTGAACTGAGCTTTGCTGTCGATGATGCAGGGGGCAGCATTTATCAACTTGATAATCTTTGTTTTTCAGGGCTTGAAGATACTGGAAGTCTGTTTGGCTACAAATTCCTATGCTAGCCAGAGGATGAGTAATGAGCAGGCATGAGAGGTTGAGCATTCAGCTTCTCTGCAAGTCTTGGTATAGATCACCTTCTCCTCTATAGGTTGGAACCACAGAGCACAATGAGTACGGTGAGTTTTGTAAGTTCATGAATTTTATTTTTTCAGGCTAAACAATTACTTCATCCCTTGTGTACCCTAATGAGAGTACCATAAAGGTGTTTCTAAGTAACCCTAGTTCTTACAGGAGTGTGTACAGGACCTTCTGGTAGTTATACCAACCTGCTTGTCTTAGGTCAGAGTCCAGTGTTTTGGGTGGTGCCCTAAAGACAGAAGGCTGAGGATGGTTGAGGGTTTTGAAGTTTTATACCTCCAGAGCAGCTGTCAGTGTCCCAGAAATATTAGGGCTCTGGTTTATTTAATTATTTACAGCCCAATCTTCCGTTTTTCCTTCTATTTCTTTTCCCTGTGTAGTTCTTGGTCCGATGTGAGCATCGGTAGCGGTAATAATCCTTGGTGAGTTTTCTTAGGGTCAGTGACCAAAGTTGGTAAGTCATTGTAACTCCTGTTTAGAGCTTTTATCAGACTGCAGGGGCAGCTCTGGTTTGGTGTAACCCAGATGTCACCTGGAGCCCCTTGAGTCCGGAGAGTGCCTGAAGGTCCCCCTCCCCACTTTACTCCCTACTAACAGGGCTGCTCATATGATCTAAACTCAAAACAGCTGTTTTCTGAGATAGTGCATTCACATCAGGTGGACCAGATGTGAAACTCATACTCTTTTTCCAGGTTCCAGAAGTGCTGTGAATGGTGTTGGGTGGGGGGTGCAGGATAAGGCTGAAAAAACGGTTCCCAGGGTGATAGAAACAGTGGTAGAAATCCTGTAGACTCTGTTCACCGACCCCCACCCCCTCCCCTTGGCCCATCCCTTCTGACCACTCCTGGCCCCCACTGTGTTCCAGACCCACCGTTGACGTTCATACACAAAAGGGCCTTTGTTTCGCTGGAGCTATCTTTTTAAAGGGCAGGTGACCTCCCATCTTGGTCCCGTATCTGCAGGTTGCCACCACAGTTCACCTTAAGGAAACCTCCTAAGCCTGGGCACCTCACCTCTGAAGCCCACGCTCTGCCCAGGCAGGACCTGAACAGACTGAGCAGTGTAGCCTCTTATAAGAGTGTGTGAAGAATTTGGTTAAAATTTCCTCAGAGTGGTGTGAATAACTTGTGTGGTGGTGATTGGATGGTCGGTTTTAACTGGAAGCTGTGAGGGCTCTGCTATTAAAAAGCAGGAGAGCGTGACAAGAGTAATAGGAAGGCAGAGGGGGCGAAGTCTTTTCCCATATTCTAGGGTTTCTTGAGCCTGGCCCTGTGCTAACAGCCACCTCCTCCCTGCCCTCGGGGAGTGCAGGTGGAAGAGGAGGTGGAGTGGGGGTTCTGGAGGCTTGGGGTGGGGGGTCATGAGATGGTCAGCCGGAGGGCATGAGGAACGTCCTCATGGTGGAGCTCACAGTGAGTAGGTTCCTGAAAGCTGTGTAAGAACTGGCTGAGTGAAGAAGGGAAGGGATGGGTCATCCAGGCTGGGAAGGGTGCCAGGTGAAGGGCAGGGAGCGGCTGAAAGAGCAGCCAGGAAAGGACTGCTGTTGGTGGGGGCGGGGGTGAGTGCTGGCAGGACACATTACTACAGTGACCACGACGGGGCTTTTAGGCTTCAGCACCTGGACTTTGGCCAGGACCTGTGACTACTTCTTAACCTCCCTCATTGGAAAAGCTGCACAGGTTGGGGCATGAAGGTTCTGTTTAGCATTGTCTGCTAAGACAGATTTGGTCCTTTTCAGAGGATGGAAGATACAAGGGCAACTTCAAAGAGAATGGGGTAAAAGTTAAGGAGCCCTAAGTAACCTGGTAGCTGCTGGGGAAACTCATATAAACACCAGGTAGTGGACTCATGCCAGCTCCCTGGAGGGACAGAGCAGCTCCTCACTGGACCGTTTGGAACAGCTGCTGTCTCTTGCCTCTGGGACTTCCTGGGGATGCTTCCCTGTTCCTTAGATCCGTGGGAGTTGCTCAACCCAGCTACATTTCCGAAACTTCTCAAGCTGCCATTTGATAAGAGAGTCAGAACACAAAAGGAATCAAGCTTCTCTCTGTTGCCAGAGAGTTGGGCTGGGTGATGGATGTTCCTGAGTCTTGTGCACATCACGTGGACACTTGCCTGTCCTCCAGCATTTCCAGGGATAGGATGCCTAGTAAGGCGTATAAGGAACTAGGGTAGTAATGCTGTCTTCTAACAGCACTCAGTACTGTACATATGGTATGTCGCCTCATCCTTAGGAGAGCTCTGCGAGTCTGGTACTGGTGAGGAAGTTCAGACTTAGTAGTGAAGTAACTGCCCCACATCGCCCAGTGTGAAGCAGAGCAGGCCCGGTGCCAGTGAGGAGTGGGACAGGCCAGGGGAGAGAAGAAGCACCGAAACACAGGGAGCTAGGTTTGGGTGGGGCCGTACAGGGTGGGAGTGATGAGGCTGCGGGTCACTTGGGAGGTTCTGTCTCTTGAGGAAGATGGCAGGGGGCGGGTTCTCAACTTGTCTTTCAGGACCAGCCAGGCCCCAGCCAGGCCAGAAATGCTGGAGCGTATTGGTAAACCAGCTCAAGGACATGGAAGAAAGGCTGGTCAGGGGGTCTGGGCTGCAGATAGGCTGGTTAACAGCTCAGACCTTCCAGAGGCATGTCTCTCGGGCAGCCCCTGGGAACAGCCTTTTAAAGACTTTGGTTCTTAGAGTACCTACTGTACAGCACAGGGAACTCTGCTCAGCACTTTGTAATGGTCTCTATGGATATATGTATGTGTGTAACTAATTCACTTTGCTGTATAGCAGAAACTGCACAACATTGTAAATTAACTACAATGAAAAAATTTTTTTAAAAGTTCTCATCACAAGAAAAAAAAATAAAACTTTGGTTCTTGGAGCTGTGGCGGGTGATTATTAGGGTGTAAACTACAACTTGATAGTATCCTAAAAGGTTAGAGGCCAGAAACCTTTCCCAAAGAAAGACCCACTTTTCACAGTGAATAGAAACTTGGGAAACTGAAGGGCTTTGGGCTGAAAAACAGAAGGGGTTCAGTAAGGCCAAATACAAATCCAAGGAAAATAGGTCTGTAACTTTTGGTTAAAAGAAGGGGTTTCTGGCCAAATCCCAACCTGGACCAGAGGCTTCCATAGAGTTATGTGTCATGTACTTTAGACAGACCAATAGTCTTTATAACAGAAATTTTACTTTATAGAATTTGTATTCACTATATGTTCTGGATGATTTCTCTCTATAAACATTCAGTGTTCTAGAATCTCAAGTTTTGAAAGGACCCTGACCTCAGGTCTGCTCACTGGCCTCCTATTCTTCTTCTTCTTTTTTTTATTTTTTTAATTTTTTTTTGCGGTACGCGGGCCTCTCACTGTCGTGGCCTCTCCCGTTGCGGAGCACAGGCTCCAGATGCGCAGGCTCAGCCGTTCCGCGGCACGTGGGATCTTCCCGGACCGGGGCACGAACCCGTGTCCCCTGCATCGGCAGGCGGACTCTCAGCCACTGCGCCACCAGGGAAGCCCCTGTTCTTCTTAATGAGTTGATCTTTTTATTCTTTTGGCTGAAATCTTACTGGTCAGGAGCTTATGTAACTGTTTCTTTTTCCCCCGATACCCTCAGAGAAAGCGTCGTGGAGGAACAGTAAATTCTAGACAAGCCCAGAAGCGAACTCGAGAAGCATCCTCCCCCCCTGAGATGGCCCTGGAGGCAGAACCCATAGAACTTGTGGAAAGCGGTAAGATTGCCAGTGACACTGGGCATGAGTGAGCACATATGCCCAACATGCCACCTACCAGCCACGGGCCTTGTGCAAGTTACACAACCTGTAACTCAGGCTTAAGTTTCCTCATCTGAAACGGGGGATAATGCTGTGCATATATATGCAGTAGCTGCTGTGTAGAGTTATCATAGCACTGAAATGAGTCAATGACACAGGACACGTAGAACAGTGCTTGTCACGTAACACTATACGAGGTTTAGCTTATATCAGTGTATTTATAAGACCTACAGTCTCAGACTCGCCTACCGTTCGCAACTTAAAAAAGCTAAGGTGAGCAAGAGCTGCCTCCTTGGTTGCCCTGAGACTCCACAGGTTTAGAAACGGCCACTCAGCTGGGCTCACCGTCCAGCCTTTCAGGGGTGTGCAGCATGGAGTGGAGACTGCCGTGGGTCCACCTTTTCTCTTTGAAACTGTGCCTCAACTTACTTGGCCTCGGGAAGTACTCCGCTTTCTTCCTCTCTCCTTCATTAAGACAAAAAATTGCCCCAGCAGGCAGACTTGTTGGCAGAGCTGGGTGTGTTGGGAGTTTGGTGCAGGCAGAGGCCAGATTGGCTTTTCCCCCTTCTTCCTGCCTCGGGAGTGGCAGATGGCCTGAATCAAGTGCCTCAGCTCTGCAGGTAGTAAGGTTGTTTTTATAATTACAATGCCTGAAAACTGACATTAGAAGAGAAGCAAGCAGCTTGTCTGTAGATTTCATGGGCCCTTCAGGGGAGTGAAGTTCTCTGTATTGTCTCTGTGGTCTCTGAGCTTCACTTCTAACATAAATTCACAGCCCTGGGCCGTCCTCCCCTCCACCCCAAAGCTGATGCCCTGGTGTCTGAATTCTGCCACCCTGCAGGAGAGGCAGGTGCAGGAGGCTCCTCATTTGGGACCCTGAACCCACAAGTGGAATCTCCAACCTGGCCAGGATCCACTGCTTTCCACTGCAGGACTGCTCGTCCTCAGTCAGTCTTACACCCATGTGCAGGGCTGTATGCACAAGCTGCCCGTTGGAATACCGTTTTTATTTGTAGGAGCCAAAAATTGTGTCCATCAGAAAGAGAGCGGTTCTGTAAATTATGGTATGTCCATATATGGACTATTCTTTAAAAAGAATGAAGTCATTTTGTATAAATTACGTTGGACGGCTTTGATGTATTGTGGTTTTTATTCCTGTGAAACTTTTTAATACATGAGAACAAAACAAGTTTGAATATGTTAAATGTATTACAAGTCACTCTCCCTTAAACAAACATTGTTTCTAAAAGTTCTTCCCTCTTACTTTTTAATGTTAATGATAATAGAAACAAACATGGTTGTAAGTCTTGTTTCAGTTTATATAAATGGAAGTTGTACTCTGCCCCTCTTTTCTGCCTGCTGGATGTAAGCGCTGGTGACCGTTTGGCACGTGCCTTTCCCCCCCTTGTCCTGTGCTCAGGTAGACAGTGCACTGTCCTCTAGGCTCAAAGGCAAGTTGCAGAACAGGCTCAACCCATCTGCGTGGGTTGGGGTTCTAGGGGACCAGTAATAAACGCTTGTTGTCCACCCAAGTGGGAAGCACTTTAGAGCCAAATGGAGTTTAAAACGTAACTGATGAAGGTGCAGAACTAAGCATGACCGGAGGTCTGAGGGGAGCAGAGGTTTCAGACAGATCCATCCCAAAGCCCAAGCTGAGCATGCTTGGTCCCTTCCCCAGATGTGCACCCCCCATCCCACCTCAGGTAAGTTGCTGCCTCTCCCCTGTGAATGAGCTGAGCAGGTGCGGGGCACGGAGGCCTAGCTGTGTGGCAGTGTGAGGACACGGGGAGAGGTGTGCGTGTGCACAGACACACACAGGATGGTGTATTTGTAAAGCCCATACCCTGTTACTCACAGCAGAATTCTGGAAGAGTATTCATTGCCTGTCACCCCGTTACTTCTGTACTTCAGGGACTTTAGTTTGGTATAAGACTGTGCTCTGTTTGTAATCATACTAATAATGAAACTTAGAGCAGTAGTCCTTTACTTTCCTCCTAAAGCTTGTTCAAATGCTTTATTTTGAAGCTGGAGATGAAATAGTGGACCTCACCTGTGAATCTTTAGAGCCTGTGGTCGTCGACCTGACTCACAGCGACTCAGTCGTGGTAAGTGCTGGAGCGTGAGGATTGCCCTTTCTTGGCTGTGGGCCCCTGGCCTGCACGTCTGAAGGCCTTGGTCACAGGCTACAGCTTGGGCTAAAGAAGGCATGCTTTCAGTGACTGGTGCTCAAGATGGAAAATGTTTCAGGAAAGTCATTTGTTGCGACATTATTGCTTAAATTAATCACATTAGTAAATCTGTGCGATCCTGTCCCTTACATAGCTGGCCATAAAGGCTTTTGGGGAGAACTCTGAGGCCCGATCTCTCTTTGGTCCCCGATTCTACGCTTAACACCAGCTGTGTGACCTTGGGCAAGTTACTTAGCCTCATTCACTTTGTCCATAAGATGGGGATAATGCCATCCATGTCAATAGAGTGTTGCGAGGATTAAAAGAGATCCTGTATGTGAGTGCCTGGCACCTAACGTGGTGCCCAGTAAAGCTGAGTAAATGTGAGTTTACACCCTCGCGGCTGGTGGGAATGGGGATATTTGCTCAGCACTGCCAGTGGGAAATCTCTCGAGTCCCAGAAGCAGCTGCCTCGGAGGATGCAGGCCCCCTGCATTGCCACCTGATGCCTTGGTTGTGTCGTGCCTCCAGGGAGGGTGGCACCTGGGAGGCTGCTTGTGCCCCCTCCCACAGGGAGCATGCCTGCCCCTGTGCGGCCCTCAGGAAGGAGACCTGGTCTGGTCAGGGGACATGTGGAGAAGTGGTTCTGGCAGCCTGGCTCCACAGGTCAGGGGCGCATAGCTGTGTGTGGGTCTGAGAGTCTGGTCAGCCCACAGGCCCACATCCTGAGGACATACTGGCCTCTTGGGATGCTTCTGCAGTGCCTTTTGATGCAGTGTGCAGTTGTGTGGAGTGGAGGTGGTGACACCCTGGACGGTCTTGGGCCAGTAGGGGGCAGGTGCTGCTGAGGGCTGCGGTTTGGTGGGGCGAGTGGGGTTGCTAGGAGCTGAGTCTTCCCCTTGGCCTTGGGGCTGTCCTGGCTGTGCTTAGAACCGTAGACTAGGGTTGCACTGAGAAGCTTCAAGACTTTAAAAGGAGAAAAGAGCGAGGACAGGGCACATCTTGACAGATTAAGAGATTTAGACTCTGGTCAGTCTGAAACTGCTGGGCTGTCCTGTGGTGTGTCCTTCCCTCTCATTCCTCCCCTCCCCCCATCCCAAAGGCGAGGCAGCTGCCCTTGCTGCGTCATCAGACCGTCCCCAGCAGATTTTGGATGAATGCTCGGGGAGACCGTGGCCCCCAAACAGGAGGCAGTAATTTCCCTGGAGACCAGTCGGAACTTTCTGAGATAAGCCTGAGCAGGTTTAGGGCCTGATTAGTGTGATTGCTAGGGCAGGGGTCCCCAACCCCTGGGCCGCAGACCGGTACTGGGCCGCGGCCTGTTAGGAACCAGACCGCAGAGCTGGAGGTGAGCAGCCAGTGAGCAAAGCTTCATCTGGGGCTCCCCATCGCTCCCCATCGCTCGCATCACCGCCTGAACCTGCCACCCACCACCCCGCCACTGGTGTGCAGAAAAATTGTCTTCCACAAAACCGGTCCCTGGTTCCAAAAAGGCTGGGACCGCTGTTCTAAGGTACACACATATTGGGTTGGCTGAAAAGTTCGTTCCGGATTTTCCGTGACATCTAATGGGAAAGTACCCGAATGAACTTTTTAGCCAAGCCCACACATACAGCTTTGCTGCTGCTCCCTGCGGGCTCCCGCAGGTTCTGGAAAGGTAGCTTGATTTGGTACCGTGGCTGGAGCCTCAGCCCAGTTGCTGATTAACACTTCAAAGTGCTGCTAGTCCTTAATTTCTCCAGTATTCAGTGTCCACCTGCAGTGTGCCAGGCCCTGGGAGATGGCCGGGATTCTGCTCACAAGACCGCATTTTCTGCCCTCAAGGAGACAAGGATTGGCTTCTGTTGGGTGCCAGACCCATGTCATCATGTCCCCTTTTACGCCTTGGTTTTGTTTTGATGGCCAGTCTGCCCTCCCTACATGGGCTTCCTTTCTGAGCTTTCCAGCCTTCTTCCTGTTTCTCTGGGTGTGGAGAGTCATTGAGAGACACCAGGATGGGAATGCTAGAGTTGGGGGAGCTGCCCTGGGAGTGGGTGGATAGCCAGGGGCAGGTGGATAGGTGAAGGGGAGGCTAACTTGAGAAGGAGTCCTCGCTTCTTGTCCCAGAGGCACTGGCCAGTTTGGTCGGAGGACTTACCTTCCCATGGCCTCAGTGGCCCCAGACATGGAATAATTGTTTCGGACTTAATAGCACCCCTTATTCTAATCATCCTTCATTCTTTATTGGTGTTTAATAAATCCAAATGCCAGTTTTAAAATTTACAGTGAGAAGTATACCTGAGACTGAAATTCTCACTCTCTAAAGCAGATCTATTTGGAAAACCTAATAGTATTATTAGCTTATCAAGGAGCATCTATTAGAGGAATTACAAGTTTAGGGTTACCTCAGGCCCCGCCTACAGGAGAGTATGAAATGAATAAATATATCGTTTCCCAAATTGGGGTAATCTTACCAGTTCGGCCAGAATGCAGGGGGACAGGCTTAAGTGTACCACCTGAATATCACCTGGGAGTAGCTCTGCATCCTTTACATCCCAGGATCCAGGGACAACGTTAGAACTCTTGTGAACCCTCTTAAGACTGGATGAGAAACTACACAGGCTGTGTTATTCTAACTCTAAGGAATCCTAAACCCCTGATGAATTAGGAGAAGTCTTAAAAGCTGTAAGGTGCAATGAGACCTTGTACATCTCTGCTTTAATATTTTCCCTCAAAATTTAACTTATTTTTGGCATTGCGTACCCAAAAAAGGCCGTCACTGCTGGGTCCTAGGGTATGTATATCTTTGATTGTCACTAGATAGTGACAAGCTGTTTTCCAGAGAGGATGTACCAGTTTACGCTCCCACCAGTGTTGGAGGTTCTTCCACATCTCACTGCCACTGTAACCTTTAGCCAGTCTGGTGTTGTCTAGAGTATCCCACATGGTTTTAATGTGTGTTTTCCCATCAGTGGTGGGGTTGAACATCTTTTCATGTTTAGTGGTGTTTCATTTTCCTCTTTGGCGAATTGCCTGTTGCAATCTTTTTTTTTTAAACACTTGAGTCTTTTTTTCTGCTCATTTTTCTGTGTGATTGTCGACCTTGTCTCATTTTTTAGGAATTCTTTATAAGTTCTAAATATGAGCCTGCCATTAGTTGTGTTTTGAATCTGCTACTCAGAGGCTTGTCTTTTCTCTTTTTGGTTTATGTACAGAGGTTCTTAATTTTAATACAGTTCAACTTATCAATTTGTTGATGAAAATCCCATACCATAAAAATATGTTCCTCTACTCCAAAAGCTTTACTGTTTTGCGTTTCACATTTAGGTCTATAATCTATATGAGTTTTGTGTATTTTTTTTTTTTAATTATTTTTATTTATTTTTGGCTGCATTGGATCTTCGTTGCGGTGCGCGGGCTTCTCATTGCAGTGACTTCTCTTGTTGCAGAGCACGGGCTGTAGGCACGCGGGCTTCAGTAGTTGTGGCTCGCGGGCTCTAGAGCGCAGGCTCAGTAGTCGTGGCACGTGGGCTTAGTTGCTCTGCGGCATGTGGGATCTTCGCAGACCAGGGCTGGAACCCGTGTCCCCTGCATTGGCAGGCGGATTCTTAACCACTGCGCCACCAGGAAAGCCCTTTGTGTATGGATTTATAATATTCCCTGGAGTGATTTTGCAAGTCTTTTGTTAGAAGATTTATTTCTAGGTACATAGTATTTTAGGATGCTATAAAAAAAATGGTGTTTAAAATTTTCACTTTTTTTATTATTTGCTAATATAAAGAAATGCAATTGGTTTTTCTTTTTTTTAGTACAACAGTTCTTAATCTGTAAATCTTTTTTTTTAATTTATTTTTATTTATTTATTTTTGGCTGCATTGGGTCTTTGTTGTTGTGTGCGGGCTTTCTCTGCGGTGAGCGGGGGCTACTCTTTTGTTGCGGTGCGCGGGCTTCTCATTGAGGCGGCTTCTCCTGTTGCAGAGCACAGGCTATAGGTGTGCAGGCTTCAGTAGTTGTGGCCCGCGGGCTCAGTAGTTGTGGCTTGCGGCCTCTAGAGTGCAGGCTCAGTAGTTGTGGCACATGGGCTTAGTTGCTCCGCAGCATGTGGGATCTTCCCAGACCAGGGCTCGAACCCATGTCTCCTGCACTGGCAGGTGGATTTTTAACTGCTGCGCCACCAGGGAAGCCTTTAATCTGTAAATCTTTGAATTTCTGTGTACGCAGAACAAGTTTTGGTTCTTCTCTATTTTCCTTTTTTTTTTCCTTGGCCTTAACACACTGGCTAGAAAATTCAACACTGGCTGAATAAAAATGGTGACAGTCATTGACATTCTTGTTTCATTCTAAATCTGAAAGAGTCTTTTCAGAGTTCCACCATTAAATAAGACTTCTGCTGTAAGTTTTTTCGATTTGTTTATATCCTTTACCAGAGTGGAAAAGTTTCTCCATTTCCTGTTTGGCTATAAGTTTCATCTTGAATCAATGTCGAAATTTAACAATTTCATCTAATGTTGCTTTTTCCCCTGCTTCTAGTGTTAAACCACTTAAGCATTGTGGTCATGGCATTATCTTTTTATGTTGCTAGATTTGGTTTGCTAATGTTTCATATATAATTTTGCCTCTGTTTTTATGAGTAAGATTGGTGGTCTGTAATTTTTCCTTATAGAGTTCTGGTATCAGCATATTGGTATCTTTACAAAGTGAGTTGGACACCTTTTTTTCCGTTCCACAGAAGATTTTGTAAGATTGGACTATTTCTTCCATGAATGTTTGTTAGAACTTGACAGTGAAGTACATAACCTAGAGTTTTAATAGGGTTTGGTAATTACATTTTTTAGGAATTTGTTGATGTCATCTAAAGTTTTCACTTTTATTTGCATAAATTTGTTCATAATGTCTTGTGTTCTGTGGAATCTATAGTGATGTCTCCTTTTTCATTTCTGATACTGGTTATTTGTGTTTTCTATTTTTTTAGATTAGTATCACCAGAGCTTTATTAGATCTTTCAAAGAACCAACTTTTAGCTTTGTGGATCCTTTCTCTTGTAAGTTTTTCATTCATTGATTATTCCTTTCTTTGTTTGAGTTTATTTTGCTGTTTTTCTAATTTTCATCATTTCTTTTCCAATAAATGCATTAAAGATTATACTGTCTTTAGCTATATCTTACAAATTATGTTACTGGTACTTTACATTTAATTCAACATATTTATCAAATTTCTATTTTTTAACTTCCAAATATATGGGTATTTTCTTTTTGTTATTGATTGCTTGCAGTATTGGTCAGAAAATAACATTCTGTATGTCAGTTCTTTGATACTTACTGGGTCTTGCTTTAAGCCTGGCTTGCCCCCGATGGCTGGCCTTCACTAGATAACCTGCCCCCATGGTTCCTGCCTAGGCTTTGGTTTCTCTGTGGGGCTTTCAAAAGTAGGCTTCAATTTTTTAAGAATTCTCTGTGCTTTTTTTCCCTCTGGGTTACTGTATTCCCTATACTGTTGACCGAATTCTTCTCTTTTTTTGATACCTCTTTATTTAAAAATATGTATGTTTTATCTTGTTTTTGGTTGTTTTCAGTGGAAAAATGGATGGAAATACCAGCCTGCCATTTATTGGAAGTCTCTGCTTGTTTTCCATCCTTCTGCTCTCTTTCTTTTTTCATTATTTTAATTAATTTATTTATTTAATTTTGGCTGTGTTGGGTCTTCGTTGCTGTGCATGGGCATTCTCTAGTTGTGGCAAGCGGGGGCTACTCTTTTTTGCGGTGCATGGGCTTCTTATTGTGGTGGCTTCTCTTGTTGCAGAGCACAGGCTATAGGTGTGCAGGCTTCAGTAGTTCCAGCACGTGGACTCAGTATTTGTGGCACACGGGCTTAGTTGCTCCGCGGCATGTGGGATCTTCCCGGACCAGGGCTCGAACCCGTGTCCCCTGCATTAGCAGGCGGATTCTTAACCACTGTGCCACCAGGGAAGTCCCATCCTTCTGCTTTCTTATCTGGTTTGATAGATGAATTAAAATTTTCAGACCACTTTTCATGAGCATTTGCAGTATGCCAGTCTCTGTTCCAGCTGGAAGTCATGCAGTGATGGAAAAGAGACTCACTCCTCTCGTTAAGAAACTGAGTCTTCCAGGGGAAAGTTATTAAAAATGGGACTTGCTTGGACTATTTTCCTTCATCGAATTTCAAAAGATTGTTTCTTTTAAAGTCAGGTTGGTTTTCCTGGAATCTTTTTTTGTTCTGTTCCCATAGTGTACTAATGTATAGAGCTATTTGTGTTATACTCTGTACCTCACCTGGTTTATGATTTATGAGACTGTTGAAAGGGTCTGCTTGGTGAAGCCTTACAGGCAGGGACAGAGCCTGGTCCGTCTCTGGCTGGGAATAGTAAAGGGCATGAGAGGTACACAGTGACTGCTAGAATGAGTGAATGAACCAGTGTAATTATATATGAAGGAAGAAGAGCCCAGACATCATATCCCAGAATTGGGGAAGTGAAACAGTTGTCCGTGGAATCTGACATGATTGCTCACTCGACTGGGATGTTCACGTCAGCACAGTCTTCCTGGTGCTCGTGGCGGTGCTACAGTAAAAGTACTCTGTAATTGTGTGATGCGAGCACCTGTTGGATGTGAGGCGTATCCTTCGTGGGCACGGTGGTTGCGTGTGGCTGTTCCTTCCAGTGGAATGATGTGCCATGCTGCCTAGGAAGGTCACTTAGAGCAAGCGGCTCTCTGAGCTCCCAGCTGGGTGAGCTTTCTTGGGAATGCCAGAGGTCAGCTTGCCTGCAGAGGACCCCAGGGACCCTGCTACTTGGTTCCATTCTGTTGTTTAACCCCAGCATGTTGCTGTAGCCCTAAGAATGCCAAGCGTTTTGTCCACTAGTAGAAGAAGAAAAGCTTATCCTGCCCCACTGACCAGGAGTCTGTGACACGGGTGTCACTGTTTGCAGGGGTTCTGAGGCTCACTTGTGCTTCAGAAGCCCACCGGGGTTCTGGGTGCCTGACATGGAGTCAGTGTGCCCGGGTGTGGAGGCAGGCGGCGCCGGTGCTGCTGTGGGTTGTTCATGCACCACGTGTCTCCACGTGTTTGTCTCTGACACACTGCCTGTAGTTTATTCTAGAGTCAGGAAAGAGAAGCCAGGCTGAAGGTGGGGTGGAATGTGTGGTCTGAGCTTGAGCCAGTTTTTCACATTGTTGATTTGGCTGTACATACTAGGGGACTGGGGAATTGTTTCCGTTTGCTATTTTGTTTCTTTGAAAGGCCTCTCAGCCAGATGAGAGGTCCAAGAGCTGGTATTATTCCTATTTGCATCTGTTTACTCCTGGAGTCAACATTTCTGAAGCCCCAGTGCTTTTCCCCACCTCTGTCTCTTGTGCTAGGTAAGCACTTTGTTACCTGCAGGGCTATGACCACGGGGAAGGGACATTCCAGAGCACCTGCAGAGTTCTTGATTTTTTTGTTTGTTTGTTTGTTTTTGTTTTGGCTGTGTTGGGTCTTCGCTGCTGTGCACGGGCTTTCTCTAGTTGCGGCGAGCAGGGGCTACTCTTTGTTGCAGTGTGCGGGCTTCTCATTGCAGTGGCTTCTTTTGTTGGAGAGCACGGGCTCGAGGTGCGCAAGCTTCAGTAGTTGGGCCTGCGGGCTCTAGAGCATGTGGGCTCAGTAGTTGTGGCTTGCGGGCTCTAGAGCGCAGGCTCAGTAGTGTGGCACACGGGCTTAGTTGCTCTGTGGCATGTGGGATCTTCCTGGACCAGGGCTCAAACCCGTGTCCCCTGCATTGGCAGGTGGATTCTTAACCACTGCGCCACGAGGGAAGTCCAGAGTTCTCGATTTGTTGTGACTTGGCTGCTGGGTGGAGGGAATACCAGTGATAGTATCTCACCTCCATCAGCTAGGAGGTGGCTCCAGGTCACCGGAAGTCATGGAGCTTGGAGGCCAGGCTGTGGTGCCATTCTTTTCTGCCCTTTGGGCAAGAAGCCTCATCTCTGAGCTGTTCTTCCATTGAACATGGATGGGGACAGAGTCATCACCAGTGAAGGAGGCTCTCTGGCCACCGTGTATTCATTTACCTAGTAGTTAAGTATGGAGCACCTGCCGTTGTGCCAGCAGCATCCTGGGCCTTGGGACTTTCCTGGGGGCTCAGTGTTCAGGTCCGGCCTCAGCTTGGCACTGCCAAGAGGCGAGCTGGGTCTGGCTCACAAGAGCCTGTGGAGACCTGGTTGCCACATTCTGGTGGCCTGGGACCCAGGGGCGTCACATTCCTTCCAGGTGCATCCACACCTGGTCAGTGGTCCTTCTTGGCAAAGGGCAGTAAAAGCAGTGTTGGAGTGGAGGAAAACTGGGGTCTTCCCTGCCCACAGCAGAATTTCCTTCTGCTCTTGGCTAACTTCAGAGCTCCCCTTATAGACTTCATATGAATAGCACCTTCTGCCAGCCCAAGCTTGTCTTCCAGTTCATGGTCCTGGTGATGAAGTTGACTGTCGCCAGTTTCATAGTCACACTTTCCAGCTTCTTCTGGGGGGAAGGGGAAGTGTCTTCAGTGGCTTCTCATCTGCAAAATGAAGATCTTTATGCTCAGACCTTCTTCCTTCCTGTGATGGCCATTTGTATTTGGCAGGGTTGAGGCTGGAGAAACCGAAATCCGCTCTACTTATTCTGGAGCAGAAATGGATTTTAATACATGGGAGGGGGACTTCCCTGGTGGCAGTGGGCAGTGGTTAAAAATCCACCTGCCAGTGCAAGGGACACGGGTTTGATCCCTGGTCCGCAAAGAATGCCACATGCCGCGGGAACAACTAAGCCCGTGCGCCACAACTTCTGATCCTGCGCTGTAGAGCCCGCGAGCCACAACTGCTGAGCCCGTGAGCCACAACTACTGAGACTGTGTGGCACAACTACTGAAGCCTGCGTGCCTAGAGCCCGTGTTCTGCGACAAGAGAAGCCGCCGCAATGAGAAGCCCGCGCACGGCAATGGAGAGTAGCCCCTGCTCGCCGCAACTGGAGAAAGCCCGCACACAGCAATGAAGACCCAACACAGCCAAAAATAAATTAATTAATTTATTAATTAAAAAAAATACACGGGAGGAGTTGCTTCGTGGTGTTGTAAAGGCTGGAGGAGCAGGTGTCTAGGAATAACTCCGGACATCTCAGCCTTGATGCACCATGGGATCTGCTACCTCTGCTCCAAGCAGAAGGATGGGAGGGGGCAGCTACCACCTGTACTAATCTCTTTGGGCTCAAGGAAATGCTACTGTGTCTTCTTGCTTGGGAGGACAGACCTGGGCTTTGGACATTGCAGCCTCGGCCACGACTGCCTCTTGATCCCCGCATCTGTGTCCACCTACAGCAGCTGAAATTGTCCTCTACCCTTCTGCCCTCCAAATAGCATGAGTGTATCTCACTGAGGGAATTTAGTTCGTGTCTAGAATCCCCACTGCAAGGGAGTTGGAATAGAGTTGAGCTTCCCATCTCTGCGGGGCAGGATGGCGTGCCAGAAAGAGTCAGCCTCTGTGCCCCCTGAACACGGGGGCAGCCAAGGAGAGGTGGCAGCAGGGCTTTCAACAGCAATCCTGAGAGCTCTCCTGAAGTAGGTGATCACACACACAAGCGAGAGGGAAAAGGGGTGCTACTGGTGATGGTGTAGACAGACAGGTAGTAGCTCAGTGAGAGAGCTGACCTGACAGGTTTGAAACTGTTGCAGAAAAGAATCTTAACAAGTTCTGAGTACAGGCACACCTTGGAGATGGTGGGCTCAGTTCCAGACCACCGTAGTAAAGTGAGTAGAGCAAGACACAGCAAACCTTGGCGTTTCTCAGTGCATGTAAAACAGTTGTTTGTGCTATACTGCAGTCTATTAAGTGTGCAATCGCACATTACGACAATTTGCCTGCCTTAATTTTTTTTTTTTTTTGCGGTACGCGGGCCTCTCACTGCTGTGGCCTCTCCCGTCGCGGAGCAGAGGCTCCGGGCGCGCAGGCTCAGCGGCTGTGGCTCATGGGCCCAGCTGCTCCGCAGCATGTGGGATCCTCCCGGACCAGGGCACGAACCCGCGTCCCCCGCATCGGCAGGCGGACTCCCAACCACTGTGCCAGCAGGGAAGCCCTTGCCTTCCTTAATTTAAAAGTACTTTATTGCTAAGTGCTAACCATCATCTGAGCCTTCAGCAGGTTGTAATCTCTTTACAGGTGGAGGGTCTGGCCTCGATGTTGATGCTGCTGCCTGATCAGGGCGGTGGCTGCTGAAGGCTGGGGGCCCTGTGAGAATTTCTTCAAAGAAGACAGCGATGAAGTTTGCTGTATTAATCAACTCTTCCTTTCATGAACAGTTTCTCTGTAGCAGCAATGCTGTTTGACAGCATTTCACCCATAGCAGAATTTCTTTCAAACCCTGCTGCTGCTTTATCAACTAAGTTTATGTGGTATTCTAATTCTTTTCTGTTATTTCAACAGTCTTCACAGCATCTTCACCAGGAGTAGCTTCCATCTCAAGAAACCACTTTCTCATCCGTATGGAGCAACTCCTCCTCTGTTCACGTTTTACTTCGAGATCACAGCAGTTCAGTCACATCTTCAGGCTCCACTTCTAATTCTCGTTCTCTTGCTTTTTCCACCACATATGCAGTTTCTTCCTCCACTGAAGTCTTGAATCCCTCAAAGTCATCTGATAGGGTCGGAATCAACTTCTTCCAAATTCCTCACCCGTGAAATCACAAATGTTCTTAATGGCATCTAGAATGGTGAACCCCTTCCAGAAGGTTTTTAGTTTACTTTGCCTGGATCCATGAGAGAAATTACTGTCTATGGCAGCTATCCTTACAAAATATATTTCTTAAATTATAAGACTTGAAAGTTGAAATGACTCCTTGATCCATGGGCTGCAGGATGGATGCTGTGTTAGCAGGCCTGGAAACATCACTGATCTCATTGTCCGTCTCCATCAGAGCTCTTGGCTGACCAGGTGCACTGTCAGTGAGCAGTAATATTGTGAAAGAAATCTTTTTTTCTGAGCAGTATGTCTCAGTAGTTTACAATATTCAGTAAACGATTTTGTAAACAGATGTGCTGTCATTCAGGCTTTGTTGTTTCATTTGTAGAGCACAGGCAGAGTAGATTTAGCACCATTCTTACGGGCTCTAGGACTTTTGGAATGGTAAATGAGCACTTAAAAGGCCTCAACTTAAAGTCACCAGCTAAGGAGAGAGTCAGCCTGTCCTTTGAAGCTTTGAAGCCAGGCACTGACTTCTCCTCTCTAGCTATGAAGGTCCTAGATGGTATCTTCTTCCAATAGCGGCTGTTGTCTACATTGAAAATCTGTTGTTCAGTGTAGCCACCTTCATTAATGATCTTAGCTGGATATTTTGGATAACTTGCTGCAGCTTCTACGCCAGCACTTGCTGCCTTACCTTTGCAATATGGTGTTATGGAGACGGTTTTTTTCCTTCAGCCTCATGAGCCAACCTCTGCTGGCTTCAGACTTTTCTTCTGCAGCTTCCTCACCTCTCTCAGCCTTCATAGAATTGAAGAGAGTTAGGGCCTTTCTCTGATTAGGCTTCAGCTTAAGAGAATGTTGTGGCTGGTTTGATCTTCTATCCAGACCACTCGAACTTTCTACACATCAGCAATAAGGCTGTTCCACTTTCTTATCATTGTGTGTTCACTGGAGTAGCACTTTAATTTCCTTCAAGAGCTTTTCCTTTGCATTCACGACTGGGCTAACTGGCGCAAGAGGCCTGGCTCTAGGCCTGTCTCAGCTTGACATGCCTTCCTCAGTAACCTTAATCATTTCTAGGTTTTGATTTAAAGTGAGACATGTGCAGCTCTTCCTTTCATTTGAAGACTTAGAGGTTATTGTAGGATATATATTTTTTCATATTTATTTATTCATTTATTTATTTGGCTGTGCTGGGTCTTAGTTGCAGCACGCGGGCTGTTTTAGTTGCAGCATGCAGGCTTTAGTTCCCTGACCAGGGATCGAACCCGGGCCCCCTGCTTTGGGAGGGCAGAGTCCCAACCACTAGACCACCAGGGAAGTCCCTATTGTAGGATTATTAACTGGCCTAATTTCAATATTGTTGTGTGTAGGGAGTAGGGAGGCTCAAAAAGAGGGAGGGAGTCATGAAAGAGTTGCTCTGTGGAGCAGTCAGAACACACATTTATCAATTAAATTCATCGCCTTGTATGGGTGAGGTTCACGGTGCCCAAAACAATTACAGTAGTAACATCAGAAATCACCGATCACATATAGCCATAGCGAATATAATAATGATGAACAAGTTTGACATATTGTGAGAATTACTGAAAAGTGACACAGACATGAAGTGAGCAAATGATGTTGGAAAAATGGTACCAATAGACTTGACTGACACAGGGTTGCCACAAACCTTTAATTTGTACGCAACGCGGTGTCTGTGCAGCGCAGCAAAGCAAAGCACAGGTGCGCCTGTGGTCAGGCGATGGGCTCGTCAGGTTCCCGCTAGCTCTTTCTGTAGGCCTCGAACACAGGATTGCATTGATCTCAGTCCTTGGTGTATGCTACTCTCCGTAGTCCCTGCATGGCCTACTTCAGCTGTTTAATTATTTTTAATAAAGTATTAAGCACTGCAAACCCTTCTGCCAGTAAAGGCTCCGTCTCCGGCAGTAGCCCACGTGGAGTGAAGACAAGGAGAACGGGTGGAGCTGGTTGGGAGCTTCAGGCCACTGGTGCCCTGTGGCATCGTTGTGATCTCACTTAGTTCTCACAGCAGCGAGGGGGCGCTGTTTTTCAGAAGAGGAAGTTGGCAGTTCCTGAGGGTATGGAACTTCCCCAGGTCACGCAGCTCCCAGAGACTCACTAAACACCTGCAGGCTGGGGCGCAGTGTGTCAGCTGCTGGGAGGCTTTGCTGCTCCCGAGGATTTTGCATTTGAAACAAATGCTTCAATTTTATTGTTTTAAGAGTTTAAAAGAATACAGAATATTTTATGTCAAATTAATTGTGTATTTCTCTTTTGTTTTTCTCCTTTTTCAAAGATTGTTGAAGGTGAGTGGTTTCCTCTCCTTCCTTGGGTTTGGGTAGAGGACTGACGAGGGTGCGGTGGCAGGGCCTCGGGCCTTGCCAGCTCTGTAGGTGTGGGAACACTCCCGGGTTGCTGCTGCTCACGCCTGCAGTCAGTCCCCTTCCTGCTGAGGAGACGTCCCCCTGGGCATCTGCACGCAGCAGGGGTGGGGGCTTCTTCTCTTGGGAGGATGGGAGGGTGGTCTCCGTGCAGCTGGGACTGGCCTTTTCCCAGTCAGAAAGGAGGGTGGGTGGTGAGGGTGGTAGGACTGGGAGGCCCTGCTCTGAACGTGGGCTCACATCTCAGAAAGGAGGCGGCCAAGGAGGAACGGCAGGAGGCTGCGCCAGGAGCACGCCGACAGCTGTGTGCTGAGCAGTGATGACGAGGAGCTGCCCAGGGACAAGGACGTGTATGTGACCACCCACACCCCCAGAAATGCCCGGGAGGAGGCCGCTACCGGACTCAGGTACCAGCGTGCCCGCTGCTCTGCTGCTGCCGTGCTGGGGACAGGCTCTCTGCCGGGAAGCTTCTGGATCCGTGGGACCCCATCGTCCCTGGAGTGAGGATCCTCTTCCTTCCTCTCCATATTTCAGTGGAGAGGTTGGGGCAGGAAGCAGGGTATTAGAGACACTGACCTTCAGCCCTGGGCTCAAGAAGGGCTTGTTGTAGCATCTGGGTGGCAGGTGGATCTGGAGCTGCGCTCAGCTGTTCCCACTGTGAACAGGGCGTGCCAGGCACTGGCTGGGCGGGTGTGAATAGCTCCAGGCTGAAGGCAAAGCCCCGCCACCTGGGGTGGAGAACAGACCCAGCGGCCCCCGGCCTTCTGCAGCAGGACTCCTTGGAGGAAGGGGGTGCTAGGCGCAGCCCCTGCCCCAGACAGGGAGGCTGGAAGGGGGCTCTGAGGGAGCATAGGCCAGAGGTGCGGGGCGGGGACAGGGCGACTCCAGTTGCTTGTGCCTTCTCTTGCCCCCATCTCTTTCCTCCCCTTTCTCATAGCCTCCCCCACCCCCCATCGGGACAGCCAGCCATCTTGTAAGTGTCCCGGGTGCCTGTGCTAAGGCAGGGTCAGAGGAGGCTTTTGTGAAGGGGATGTGGGCTGCTTACATGAAGCCACTTAAGAGTAATTGATGTTTGCGTTTGCTGAGGAACTGACATGAGCACTGTGATTTTAGGCCCTCTGGTACTGTCAGTTGTCCCATCTGCATGGACGGGTACTCGGAGGTAAGCAAACTTAGCTGTGTCTTCCCTGATTCTGGTTCTCAAACTGCTTCAGTGAAAGAATTAGATGAGAGAGCACTCCTCACTGGGTGGGCTTTTGATGCCTCTGTTTTGCAGTCACACTTGGGTTGGCACATGGCTTGGCACACCTCTGCGAAGGGGGAGGGTACCATCTTCTTGGGCCCTACAGTCTTGAACTCTGGGCTGCCCTGTGCATCAGTCCTGTGTATTCCCTACCTGGCCTAATTGGAAGCTGCTAGTGTTCACTGTGGCCCCAGGCCCTAGGGCACTGCCCCACTGGGTGCCTGGAGGTTCGTCAAACCCCCTTGGGCTGTCGCTGCCAGAGACTGGCTGCTGCCTCTGCTCTCGGCTTCAGAGACACCGCTCATACTTGCCTGAGCCTACAGAGCAGCATCTTTAGTTCTTCAGACCATCTCCCTGCTTTTCCTGCTGCAGCCCTTGGCCCCCTCCTCTCATTCGGCATCTTAGAGACGGGCGGGAGTGGATTCTCTGGGGGCTCCCGCTGCTCTGGTACAAGGCCAGACGTGAAGCCTGTTCTTTTTTATGTTTTCTAGATTGTGCAGAATGGACGTCTCATTGTTTCTACAGAATGTGGCCACGTCTTCTGTAGCCAGTGCCTCCGTGATTCCCTTAAGAATGCTAACACTTGCCCAACTTGCAGGAAAAAGATCAGCCACAAGCGGTACCACCCCATTTATATATGAAGTGCTGGGCTGCTCGGGAGACGGATGGACAGACAGAGCCTGACTGGGTTCTCTACGGCCTTACGTGGGCTATCTGCCGCCAGTTTCTTGAGCTCAGAAAGACTATTTCAGAATCAGCATCTGTAATGTAAACTGCTCTCGTTTCCCACCCCGTCTTTGATCCTTTTGTTACCTCTAGTCTGATGCTGTGGAGCTGGGCCCAGGGCCCTCCCAGCCCAGGGTCTACATCTGCTCCTCTGGGTGGTCTGGTTCCAGGGAAGGAGAGAGGGAGTCAGGCCCGTTGGAATTGAGAATCGTGGTTCCAGCCTCTTTCCGGAACCTGCACGTTGCCAAGAAGTTTTCCCCATTTGGAAAGTTTGCCCCAGCTTCCTGCTGGCAGTGTGTCGAGGGCTGGCCCCGGTCGGAGAGCAAACAGGTCCACCCAGCTCTCCTGGGCACGCTACCTCCTCCCAGGCATCTGCCCACCACAGTGACCAAGCCAGACAAGGGTCCATCTGGCCTGAGGATCCCAGGTGCAAGCATGGCCCCGGAAAGACCAACCACTGGACTTTTTTTTCTTCCCTTGAGTTTCAGAGGTCACCCGTGATTCCATCTGCATTGATGTCGGGTTCCTGCAGATCACAAGGACCTCTGCAGGGCAATCCCCAGTTTTCTAAGAACGAAATGTGCAATAAAGCCTGTTCTTTGCCTACTTTTCAGCAGCCCAGGAGATGTAGCACTATTAGTGTCCTTCAGAGGCCTCATGTTGCCTACAGAGCAGTGCCTGTCTCGCCCCGTCTGGTTCATCACCTGTTCTCAGGAACCTTACCCATGCCCGAGTTCACCTGGTGCAGGCTGTGCAAGGTCAGTGGGGCAGGCACGTCGTCGAGTATCCTCTCTTTTCTGATAAAAATCCATCCTTTGTTTACCACGTGCCCTCCGGTCCTCAGTTCCCACTGCCTCATGTCTACTCAAGCATAGACCCTGGGCGGTGGTGGCAGTAATTGTGGCCTTATTAGCCGCCCGTGTCCATGCTGTTGCCCAAGTCACAGCTGACCTGCGTTTCAAAGACCTCGGCTCTCCAGACTTGAGCTGGGCACCCCCCACCCCTGCAATTGACATTCATTTCCGAAGCTGCTCTTCTGGCCACTGGGCTTTGATCCTTTGGGCTTTGATTGCTCCTTAGGTTTTGGTTGGCAAAGTACGGTGGCCTCTCCTCCCCAGGGGCCCAGATAACACCCTCTGCTCGACTCCACGTGGGTAAAAGCCTCTGGTCTCAAGGAAGCAGAAGGTGGCCCGAGCTGACCTGAACTGCCCCCCGCTGCACAGGGCTTGCCTCCACCTCTGTACCCCTCCTTCCTCCGAGGCCTTCAAGCCAAACCAACAGCCTTTTCGTGTGAAACATCTTCGAGGTGGAAAAGGGGCCACCTCTGGCTTTGCTAGCAATAACTGACCTTCAGTTTCTCCTTCTGGAGGAGCAGGGACTCAGCACAGAATTCACTTTAAATGGGGCTGAAGGAGTATCCCTCCTCTATGTGAAAAGAATTGTTTCATTCTTCATTCTGACTTTTTAACTGTTTGGCTCACTTCCGGTTCGTTTGATGAAAGTACTGCTTTCTACTTGGAGTCGAGGAGGGCCGACATCAGTTGTCATCTGCGTGGTGTGCAGCGTGTCTGCCCTTCGATTGGACATCGTTGCCATTAAGTTCCTTCTGGGCTTCATGGAATCTCTTTTCTTATGTTCTGACAATAGCCGGACTTCAGGAGCCAAGACAACCGCAGCCAAAATTTCTCACGTTTTATGCTTAAGGACAAATGGTTGATCATAAAAGTTGTATTCCTTCATACTAACTGAAGTTGGGAAAAAATGTTTAGTTTCTACTGTTCAGAAGTTGCAAAACAGGAAAAGGTTGATAAGAAAAATCCTTTCCCTCCCTCCGTGTACATAGTTCAGATCTTCTTTGTTACACTTAAACTATATCCATGTATGTCAGTCTGTTTTGGACTCTCCTCTGCTAGTGTTACAGGCGGAAATAAACCAGTTTGAACCAGGTATCTCGTGTGTGCATTCATTTGCTCTTTTGGATCAGTATCACCCCCCACCCTTGCCCAAGGTGTGTGATCCTGTCTGCCTCGTGTTTGGTGTATTTTGTGACAGTATGTGTGCAAGAAAGTTGCTTGGTCATCTGCTGACCCAGAAGTCAGCAAGTAAGAGGTCATCCTTGGAGCAGAACCCCAAGTCCGGGCCCTGGAATCCCTAAACGAGCAGAATCTTAACCTCAGGCCTGAAGGAGCAAGGTTGGCTGTGGGCTGTCTGCTCAGTCTGGCCAGTGCCAGCTCAGGAGAGGAGCTCCGAGCAGTGTGGACTCGGACTGACCTGGGGTCCTGGCAGTGCAGCGCACCTGCCCCAACCACTGTATACAGTTTGCCCTCTGCGTGGGAGTGGGGGCCCAGGAGTGCATGGCGGGCCCGTTAGAGCCCCAAGCAAGCTGTGCGGGGAAAGCTGAAAAGACAGCATGGGCTTGGCTTACTTCCCAGAGAGTAAGTGATGGCAGAGTTGGCCTTTGCCTGCCTGCTCTTCTCCATTCCTGTCAAGTGGTCCCCAGAGACAGAACAGGCTAATGTGCTGGGTGCTCGGGGGCACAGAGGTGCTAAACTTCAGACGCCTGCCTGCCTTCTGTTGGAGACCACCTGAGACAAAAAATACAGTTGTTCAAATGCTTACTGCACATTTGCCATGCTCCTGGTGCCACACTTGGCTTGGTGGGTATTGAGAAACCCAACTCCCGTGCCCTGCTAGGCCGTACATCATCGAGGGAGACAGTTCCCCAGGCCAATGGGAAATAAAACTGGCAAAGGTGAGGTACGGGAGTCCAAGAGAACAGGAAGAGATGCTCAGCTGTGCTCCGCAAGGTCTGAAACTTGTCTAGGTAAAGAGAAGAGGAAAGGGTCCTTGAGTGCAGATCCCAGGCCTGGCGCCCTCCCAGTGTACAGGCCTCCCGAGACCTGAGGGTGTGACTGACCAGACACTTCCTTGGTGGCCCCCCTAGACCAGCAGTGTCTGAAGCCAGGAGCCAGGTGAGGCCTCCACCCTCGGCAAGCCCAGGGAGGAGAGCAGAGTCCCATGAAAGGGCGGGGAGTGTGTACCACAGGTGTGTACTAGCAGAGGATGTCCCCCAAAGCTGGCTACAGAAGGGGCTTGTTTCTAGGTTTCTTAGTTTTGAAACTTAAGTGGCATCTTAACTACCTTTTTTTGTTGTTGCCATATGGAAATTTAATTGGTTTTGTAAATTGTGTAAGCATTCTTGCCAAAGTCTCATTCTAATTAAGAATCTGGATTCTGTTAAAATTTTGTACGTTCACAACCATATCATCTGCAATGGAATGTTCTAATTCTTGGAACTTTCTTCTTCTTTATGAACTTCTTAGATAACAGGTAACAGAGGTTCCTTTTCCAACCACGAGATAGGAGTTTGTATTTTATTTCTGTTTTATTTTGTCACAAGGGATATATCACCTTATTGGTTCTTTTTCTACTTCTACTGAGACATAGGATGTTCCCCCTTTGGATCAGTTAATGTAGTGTATCACAGTGATTTTTTTTCAGTGCTCACCAGCATATTTCATGGGTAAATCTACTTTGTTCATGATGTTTTATCTTACACATTTCTTACTTTGTTTTGCCAATATTTGGTTTAGGGTTTCTAAATATCCATGTTCATGAGTTATATTGACCTATCATTTCCTTACACTGTCTTTGTCAGGTTTTGGTTTCAAAGTAAGTTCCCTACAGTGAGACTAAGGAGAATTGTCTCTATACCCTGGATTCGAATTATTTGTTCCCTGAATGTTTAGTAGAACTCAGCAATAAAATTTCTGGGCTATTATTTTTATTAAGGAAAGATTTTAAAATACTGATTTGATTTTTTAATGTTTGCAAATTATTCACATTTAAGTCAGTTAAATTACAGGTTTCTGGGAATTTGTGTATTTCATCTCGTTACAAGTCTTTGGTATAAAGTTCAAAATATTCTCTTGTAAGCTAATTAGTCTCTGCAGCATCTTTTTATCATTAATACTAATTTATGCTTTCTGTTTTAATCAGTTTTAGAGATTTGTCTGTTTCATATTCTATTTATGTTAATTCCAGTACCCAAAGTCTTTGTGGGTCTAATTCTGAGGCCTTTTATTCCGGCTGGCTCTCACTAATGATGACTTCCTTCTTTGTGTGTTTTGTAAACTTTTTTCTCCCTTACTTTGCACCCAGGTAACTTGGTAACTATCTGAAAATTCTTTGAGACCTGAATTGAAGGTGGGTTCCTCCAGAAAGTATTTACCCTTGCTTTTTAATTTTTTACCCTTGCTTTTATGAGGTGTTTAAGGCTTAGTTACGAACTCAAGGCCACTGTATTTATTTATCTTTTATACTGTGAAATATACCACACAAAAAGCACACCTCACTGAATTACTTCAAAAGTACAGTTCAGTGAATTACCATAAAGCAAAAGCCTGTGAAACAACCAACTGCAACAAGAAACTATTACCAACACCTTAGAAGCCCCTTCTTGTCCTCCCTCCTGGTCAGTACAGTCTGCCTTTTCCTCCAAGGTAATCGCTATTCTGACTTTTATGAAAATCACTCCTTTAACTATAATTATAGTTTAATTACCAAAACACAATCCTACTCACGTACTTTACTTTTGCCTTTTCTTTGCACTTTAAACAGATGGAATTGGGGACTTCCTGGTGGTCCAGTGGTTAAGACTCTGTGCTTCCACTGCAGGGGGCAAAGGTTTAATCCCTGGTCAGGGAACTGAGATCCTGCATACAGCACGGCATGGCCAAATTAAAAAATAAATAGATGGAATCACTCAATGTGTATTTTGTGGAGGAGGGGGGTGGCTTCTGTTGCTCAATATTGTATTTGTGAGATTCATGTTGTGTAGTTTGTTCATTTTCCGTACTGTATAGTATTTCATTAGATGAATATGCTTCAGTTTATCCATTCTTTCATTAATTTATGTTTTTTGCTATTAGTAGCCAAATGTGAACATTCTGTATATCTTTTGGTGCAGTTTTGCTCACATACCTGTTGGACATATACTTAAGTGTGAAATTACTGGGTTATAGGGAATGAACATTTAGGAGAACCCACAAATACGTGGACATTAAACAACACACTTTTTTTTTTTTTTTTGCGGTACGCGGGCCTCTCACTGTTGTGGCCTCTCCCGTCGCGGAGCACAGGCTCCGGACGTGCAGGCTCAGCGGCCATGGCTCACGGGCTTAGCCGCTCTGCAGCATGTGGGATCTTCCCGGACCAGGGCACGAACCCGTGTCCTCTGCATCGGCAGGCGGACTCTCAACCACTGCGCCACCAGGGAAGCCCAAACAACACACTTTTAAATGACCAATGGTTCAAAGAAGAAATCACAAGGGAAATTAGAAAATACTTTGAGAAGAATGAAAATGAGAACACAGCATACCAAAACATGGGATGCAGTGAAACCAGTGCTCAGGGGGATAGTCATAGCTATAAATGTCTACATTAGAAGATCAAATCAATAACTGTATGCCTTAAGGAACTGAAAAAAAAAAAAACTAAACCCAAAGTTAGCGCACAATTACAGTACAAATTCAGCAAAGTTCTGGGGTATAAATTCACAAATCAGTTGTATTTCTATACACTGTCAACGATCTGAAAGGGAAATAAAATTCCATTTTCAATAGCGTCAAAAAAAATAAAAGGAGTAAATTTAACCAAGTAGGTGCATAATTTGTACACTGAGACATATACATCCCTACAAAACATTGCTGAAGGAAGCAAACCTAAATAAATAGGCATCCCATGCTTGTGGGTTGGAAGACAGTATTAAGATCGCAATAGTACCCAAGGCAATATAGTATAGAATCAATGCAGTCCCTACCAAAGCCCAATGGCAATTTTAATAGAAATTTGTATGGAATTTTGAAGGACCCAGGATAGCTAAAACAATCTTGAAAAAGAAGTTGGGAGACTCACTTCCCAATTTGAGAACATTATAGAGGTACAGGAATCAAAACAATGTGGTGCTGACTTAGGGACAGACATACAGACCAATGGAGTAGGATTGAGAGCACAGAAATGAATCCTCACTTCTATGGCCAAATGATTTTCACAAGGGTTTCAAGACCATTCAATGAAGAAAGGTCTCTCCAACAAATGGTGCTTGGAAAACTGGATATTCACGTGCATAAGAATTAAGTTGGTGGAGCTTCCCTGGTGGCGCAGTGGTTGAGAATCTGCCTGACAATGCAGGGGACATGGGTTCGAGCCCTGGTCCGGGAAGATCCCACATGCCGCAGAGCAACTAGGCCCGTGAGCCACAACTACTGAGCCTGCGCAGCTGGAGCCTGTGCTCCGCAACAAGAGAGGCCGCGATAGAGGCCCGCACACCACGATGAAGGGTGGCCCCCGCTTGCCGCAACTAGAGAGAGCCCTCGCACAGAAACGAAGACCCAACACAGCCAAAAATAAATATAAAAATAAATTAATTTAAAAAAATTAAGTTGGGTCTTTAAACAGTATATAAAAATTAATGAAGAAATGGATCACAGACCTAGATTTAAAAGCTAAAACTATAAAATTCTTAGAAAAAAACATGAAGGCAAATATTCATGACTTTGGATTTGGCAAAGTTTTCTTATATATGACCAAAAACACAGGCAACAAAAGGAAAAATTAATTTGACTTCATTAAAATTAAAAACTTTTGTGCATCAAAGGATACTATCAGGAGAGTGAAAAGACAACCCACAGAATGGGAGAAAATATTTGCAAGTCATCTATTTAATAAGGGCCTAATAACCAGAATATATAAAGTGCTTCTCCAACTCAACAAGCACAAAAAATCAGCCCAATTTAAAAATTGGCAAAGGACCGAAATAGATATTTCTCCAAAGAAGACATACAAATAACCAATAAGCACATGAAAGGAACTCGGCATCATTAGTCATGAGTGAAATGTATATTAAAACCACAGATACCACTTTACACGCACTGGCTATTATCAGA